GAATACCCGAGTTCGTGGCCGACTAGGCCGAATACCCGAGTTCGTGGCCGACTAGGCCGAATACCCGAGTTCGTGGCCGACTAGGCCGAATACCCGAGTTCGTGGACGACCAGGTCGAATACCCGAGCCCACCGACCACTCATAATCTGAACGGAACGTGTCGGTGTGCTCGGTCAAGTCACGGATTTACGCCAGGATAATTATGGAGAGGTTAATTTATGTAATGCACCGGATTAGCCCCCTAATTTCCCGGGGCCCAGTCCTTAATTACGGCCCAATAAGAATCACTATAAATAGGACCCCAACGAGGTACGTAACTAACTTTTCAACTACCGCATTTAATACGTCGAGCACTTACTTGAGCATTGGAGTGTCTTTGCAGGCACCCCCCCTCATTTCGGACTACTCGGAGAAGGACGAGAAGACCTAGACCCCGGACCCGACCCGCTACAACAAGGATAATTGGAGTGTGTATCCTTTTACAAAAGTACATAATATATCTTTGATATTTTACACTTTCATCCAAAGCATAACTTTTATGCTAATTAGCATAAAAGTTACACCAATTTCTAAATGTTTAAAGTGTATAATATTGTTTTGGAGTAACAATGCATAAAAAAATTAAACTTTAAATAAAAAAACTGAATCCATTTTGGCTACCCAGAAAATTCAAATCAATAACACTAATAAAAGGGGGGAAAGGGTATCATGAGAGAAGAAAAATGATGAACCTGGAGAACAGGTGGAACGAGGTACTGAATGACACCAAACAGGGCATAGTCTTGTTGTGGATAACACTGATGCATAGGTTCTGGGAAGCAACCTGGAGAAAAGAGCTTGAGTGAGAGGAAAACATAGCCATTGATTCCGAAATACTGACATGTTTTGCTCTTTACTTAAATTTGATTTTATTGAGTTTTCATCGCTGGTTTTGGAATCGCTTCATCTAGAGCACTCGCCACTCGGACACTAATGTAAAGATATTTTTTGCCTCCAACCGCATTCTCTTAACTGTTTTTCTAATCAAAGTGGCTGCATTTAAAAAAAAAAACATTAAAATAAAATATTTTATTTGAAAGTTATTATATAAAAGTATGTGAAGTATTTAATATTTTTTTTAAAATAACTAAACACAGTTAATAAATTATATTTACATTTAATATTTTCGCATAATGCTAACAAAATAATAATTCATGGTATTATCTATAAACAAAGATTTGAATTCCAATTGTAATTATCTTCATTTCATAAAGCTAGTATTTTAACCGCATGATGGATATTTTTTACATAGATATAATTATAATCAACATATTTTTTTTTAATATATAGAATATTATAATTAAAATTTGTAATAAATAAATATTTTTAACACATTAATTGTATTTTATATTTATAATAAATAATTTATAATAATACAAATTATTTTGTTGACAGATTAATCTTATTTTAATTTAATAAATTTTAAAAATATTGAAATTAATTAAAAAAAATCAAAAATAGAGGAGAGGTCAAGAAAAATACTTTTATTGAATAAAAATGACTAAATTTGCCTTAGAACATTTAAAAAAAAAAATATTCTTATAGAAGACAAATACTTTATTGTCCATAATAATCCTATTTTACATGAATATAATTGTTTCACATGAAAAGTATATGTGACCTAATAAAAAATGACAAAGTAAAAATGCATATAACAAAATCAAAATTTTTAAAAATAAAAATCTAAATATATAACTAAAAGTTGTTAATCTAAGTGGTTCGGCGCTTTTCTTTTCTTAACTAAAAATTGAGGTTGAATATGTATCTTAGGTTTAAAGCTGCGATTAGGAATAATAATAGATTAAACTTTTAACAAAGAATTTATGTCTTGATCTTTTTAAAATTTGACTAATTTAATAAAAAAATTTAATTAAAATTTTTAAAATTTTTATTTATTTTAAAAAATTTGATTTTAAACTTATATAAAAATCTTTTATTTAACATTATTAATATAAAATGTTTATAAGTAAACTAACAAATTAAATCAATGTTTTAAAAAGATCAAAATTTTAAAAAATAATTTATATAATAAATAATAAATCAAAAACTTTAATTTTATAAAACAAATACAACATGAATATTCAAAGAAAGTATAACCTCATAATGCACCACTATATCTTTAGATAAGAAGTCATTCAATGAAAATAGATTATGGGAGACAATTGATTTATAGAGTAAAGCAAAATTTTGCTTTTATAAATTATAATATTGGATTTAAACCGAGTCCATTGAAGAATTTGGTGGGTTAACCAGGCCCAACTTTGCAAGCCCACTTCCTCACCTGCTTCGTTCAGTTCACAACACCGCAATCCCTAATCCCACATTTTTCCTTCTTCCTTCACCAGTAACCGAAAATTGCAGGTCCAAATCTTACCTCGTGCAGGTAACACATGTTTTCTTTCTTCCCCTCTTTTTTCTAATTCAAGGAAAATAATCTTTTTCCTTTGATAGATAGAACCGACAAATTTAACTCGCTAATCACCCTCCTGGGTGGTTCTTCTCAGCGATATGAAAATTTTGTTATTTTAGGTAATATATATATATATATA